TTTCCTTTCCTTTCTTTTACTTTCTTTTCTTTTTCTTATTAATATTTATCCAAATATAACGTTAGGATTATTAAAATATCTTTTCAACTTCAATATTTATTCATTTCTACTAATATTTTAATTTTGTTATAAGAAAAAAAATTAGAAGTTCAATAAAACTCATTGTAATATTAATGAGTCAAATATTAGAGAATCATAAACTATTATAATTATTATTTCCTTTAACTTTTACAAAATATTTATTTTTAGTAGTGCACTACATAAACATACTAAAAAGAGAATATATTTTAATTATTATAACTTGTTGTTTAAATATAATTTATTTTGCAGAGTTCTTAAACCAAATAAATAGAAATAATATTTTTTAGTGTTAGATTTTTTGTTACCAATTCAAAACTGCTAAATGCTTAATTTTTTTTAATTAAAATGATGCAAAAATAAACTTTAAAAAATATAATTTATTTGCATGAGTAACACCTATATTTTAAGTTTTCATTTTTAATATATTATTTGAATCAATATCAATTATTTACTTTATTTTTAAAAAATATAAATAATGTTAACCATAAATTATTAAGATAATGAAGTTTTTTTAATATTATAAAAAGTTTTCAACATGAAATTAAAAAGTTTTTGCATCTTCTTTAAAATAAATCAATTTCTTTTATGTCAAATAAATGAATAAATGAAAACTTTTATTAAAAATTATAATAAGTGGATAAATTTTGCTCATTTTCAAATCTATATGAAATTTAATAAATATAATTAAAAAATTATTATTTTATACAATATATATTTTAATAAAAATGGCTCGGTAAGTTATAAGCAACATATTTTTATGATATGATTAAGTAATAATTAAAAGTATATATAAATTAAACTAATATTTAATTTTTATATAAAACTAAAATATCTACTAATAAAAATGGTTAAAAATCAAATTACATGAATCTTTGACGTCATTACTCAAACTATCAATAGCAAATGTAAATAATAAATTAATATATCTAACAAACAAATAGATTCAAGAAGGGACAAAAATTACAATTTAAAAGTAGTCTAAATAATGATAAATGGAAGGTCACTTAAATAGTTCCAGAAAAAAAAAAAAAAACCCATAAGTCATGAAGAAAATTAAAAGTTTACAAAAATTTTAACAAAATCAATTGAAAAGATTATAAATGCAAAAAAAAAAAAAAAAAATCAAAAGTCAAGAACTTATATAAACTTAATGCAACTAAAAGTCTAAAAAATAATAACTTTTTTTTATTTTTTGAAAATGTAGTATTCATTGGATTATGGTATAATACTTTCAGTAAGAATTACATCTGATATGATAGAGGGGCATTCATCAACCCTTTGTACTGATTCCATAGGTGTTGTAAGAGCATTTCTGGCTAACCTGTGTGCAACGTCATTAGCCTTTCTCCTCATATAAGCAGCAAAGAAATGACAGAAACCTTGTCCCAACCTTTTTGCATCTTGCATTAGTTCGCCAAACATTGATAGACATTCTTCATCAGAATTTATTTGGTTTAGTACCTCCAGAGCATCTCCTTCCACTATGACATCTTGGAATCCCAATTATTTAGCAAAATCGATAGCTATGATTGCTGCTAGTGTTTCTGCAATCGTGAGATCTCTGAGTGATTCACTGTGTTGGTGCATGCCCCAAGAACTTTGCCTAATCCATCCCTTACCACAACCCCTATTCCATCCATACCTTCCTCCACCCTTAGTGCTCCATCAAAATTTACCCACGAAAATGCTTTGATGCGATTAATTTTTCTTAAGGGTATTGAATAGTTACGGATAAACGATTTGTGTTGGATAAAGTAATCATGAAACCTTGACCAATGTACTTTGCTGGTCGAATTGTTTGGTGGTCATAATTCATGAACCTAGTTACCATAAGGATCGCATTGTGAATATCTATAAATAATTTTATGTTTGTTTATTTCTCTTGTTTAAATCAAGTCATAAATCTCGTATCTAGTGCAATCCATTTGGTACTACCCTAATCTACATTTGAGCTTCTTTGTATTCCTCCAAATGTCGCACCATAAAATAATAATTTATAAGACAAAAAACAATAATTACAATTTATAAACTATTGACAAATTGATGGCTCTGCAAATATCATCAATATTTAATTATAACTTGATAACAATAATGATACAATTTTTAAAATAAAAATGAAAATTATATTTTATGATTACTTCAAACAAATGAAATTTATTACCAAAAAATGTGAAAACTGAAAATTTTAATTTTGATAGAATTTTCTTTTCTTACATGAAATTTAACAATTAACACAAAAGTGTACTTGAAGTCTAACAATTTTGCATATGTAAACTTGATTAAAACTACTTGAAATCTAACAATTAACACAAAAAGTAACCAAAAATAAAATAACAACTACATTGTTAAAAACAAGAAAGACTAACTAAAATAATATCAAACAATAGCTTTAATATAGAACTTGTAAAATAATATGTGAGTAAAACTATATTTTTTAATTAATGTATAAATTGACTTACCTAATGTAATTCATATGAAAATTTACTGAATATAAAAACTTAAAAATTAACATAAAATAATACAATATGAATTTTATAAGAAACCAAGAATTAATATAAAATTTTTAACAATTTTCACAAATTCATCCCTAGAAGAGGAACATGTTATTTGTAACTTTTTTTTTTTTAAAAAAAGGCAATAAATAAGAGATTAGACAATAAAAATTATACCTTTAACTTTAAGAATAAAAAATTTTTAAAAGATGAAAATAAATAAGATTAAAAAGCTACAAAGATTACATATATTTTATAAAAAACCAAAAAAATAAATAAAAAAATATCAAAATGATATTTACTTTTAATAATAAAAAAAGTTATTTTTTAAAATAAATCATCACTTCTATTTCAATATAGAAAATATCAAAAAAAGAACACCTTAAATCTTGAAGGCTTAACATCATACAATTTATAAACTTGTGACCAATAATTTGAAAATGAGACAAATCCGTGCGAACAACACCAATAATATATAATGAAAAATTTAAAATAAAAAATTATTTAAAAAAAATTCAAAAATTCAAAATCCATAATAAATTATCAAAAGATAAAAGTATTAAGCATTTATTAAATGCTCATAAAAACAATTATAAGCTACGAACAAAAAAAACATACCGTGAAATATTTACATTTCATCAAGTATATCTTTGATGACGGTATTAGTAAGAAAATAAATTATATCATTAACTGTAATTAGCTGAAAATAATTATCTTTATTTTTTATAATAATTTTTTATATAATATAAACTCCCATAATAAATTTTATTTTTCAATCGATATACATTATCACTCCAAATAATATCATGAATATAAAATCTCTAAGAAGTACAAAAAAAACTATAAAATAAATCAAAAAATGAAAATAGAAACAAAAATATAACAAAAATAAATTTATTTATGTACCTTTTTATCAACTAACATTATTTTTATGTTAATATGTTGTTTAGTCTTATAATTATAAATATCCCCACAATTGACAAACACACAATTTGATCATTCTCATCTTTTTCAAAAGTCAATTTAGCAATCATCACAAATTTTAATTGGTTAAAAAGCAAACATAAAATAGAAAAATATGATCATGACAAAAAAATAAAAAATAATATAAATGCAAACAATAAAAATTACACCAATTGCCTAAAAAACTTTGAAATTTCAAATAAAAAAAGTCATATATCACAATTAAAAGATAAAAAATTATACAATACAGATACAATAAAAAAACAAATCTCATGTTGAGAACAAAAAAAATATAATACAGTTATGAAATACAGTTATATAATCATCTCATCCTTAAGGAAAATAGTTGAAAAACTAATAGGAGAATTAAAAGTAAAAAAAAAAAAAAAAGTTTTAATAAATAATAATTTTAAATAACATAAATAAAAAATAAAAAAAAATCAAGAATCTTTATAAATATTAAGCAATCAAAAGTCTATTGTATTTTATGTAATAAAATTAGAAAATATAAACTTATACTTTATGTATAAATGACTTAACATTTACTGTAAAATATTTAAGTTATATATATATATATATATGATATAATTATTTGATTGGCTAGTCCATAATACTTTTTTTTTTTCTTCTTCCTTTTCCTCTCACCTTCCGCTAAGGATGATCAGGATTGGAGCTTCGGCTTCGTATTCGTGGGGGAGAGGCTGGACTAGAGTTCCCAATGTTTGATTGGCATAGATAGTGGCCAAGTCTGGTCATCGTGGGCCATTCAGTGTTGCCTTTTGGATGAAGATGATGATGCATGGAAGATGAAAAAAAATAAAAAAAATAAAAAGAAAATATGATTTGAATAAATGATTTTTAGTTAAATATAATTACGTAAATTAAAAAATAAATTAAAATTTAAGATTCTATTTACAATCATATAGAATTACAAATTTAAATCATATTTACTTAAAAAAATACATGAGAAAAAATTATTTTATCATATCTTTAATCTTTCACCAACGGTATAACATAAAAATATCTTCTAATCTTATCCTTAAGTCATGCAGTCGTTAGTTAATATTTAATAATTTTAAATTTTAAATTTTAACATTTATATTTTGTTTATCTTTTAAGTTACGATATAAAAAAAATAATTTCTAAACTAGTCAACTTTATATTATTTTTGTGGTCCCAAAACCCAATTTTATGAATTATAATTTAAAAGAAATTAAAATCTTATTGTTATTTATTATTTATTATATTCACTAATAATTATTATAAACTTTTAGAATTAATAAATTTGTCACAGATATTATGCCACAACTATATAAACTTAACAAAATCAAATTAATTTTTTAGTCACCAAATAAATGATTGGCTTAATTGCAAAGGTCACTTGTTTTGATGTAGGTGGTTTTGGCTTATCATAGATTATTATTTCTAGGTTCATGCATTCAATTATTGCAGAGAAATTTTTCCTTTTATTTGAGATTGATTGATATTAGAAAGTCAAATCATTTAACCAATAGATCACAAAGATATCCAAATGGATTGTGACAAACTGACCACCGTAAAAAAAAAATACAATAATATAATTTATTCAAACACAGGTATTTGAGGAAAGAAACCTAAGTCTGATCATCCCCATTTACACAAAAGAGAAGAAGCCTATCATTCCCCATTGTATGATGATCAGACAATCAAACTATTGAACAATGGAACAATAAGCTTTGATGAATGAAAGCTGCATAAATCTTCAAAGGCATATATCGAGAGCACAGCAACAGCACAGAGCAGCACAACTGCAAAAGGCAGACAAATATAAAAATTTGATCACAAAATAATTATACATAATTGCTAGCGGTATCGAAAGTTTAAAGTAAGAAAGACTTAATTACCATCCCTTCCAGAATCCATCACCTCTGGATTTGGTTTCGATTGCAACAGGATTCTGGGGATATTGCTGACCATCTTTGGTCATGGGGTAACCAGCTGGTGGTGGAGTCAAATAGGATCCTGGCGCAGTGGATGGTGGTGGGTATGCATCTGAACCATATATTCAACAAGTAAACCAAATTAATTGCTTTGCATGATTGGGAAATCATAATTAGATATATCATGTGAAGAAGAGAACGTCCTGACCTGATGGTTGATTGATCTGCTGCAGGTTTTGGCTCATCTTGGAATTTAGTATGAACAAGAAGGAAAACAAAGATGGAGTTTTCAAGATTGTGAAGAAATTAACTAATATCTGAGGAGCTGGAAAGAGATATCAGAGAAGAAAATATGTATTAAGTAAAGGATAAGATGAAAGACGGTGATGAATTGCGATGAGTATATATAGAGAGAAGATAGCAAAAGGGTGTTAAATGTTAGTATTGGGCGGTTTCTTACAAAGACAGGTTTTCTCTTCGGAAGGGCAATCAGCAGCCTGCACCGAGTGGAGGCTGGGCCATACAGGGAGGGAGGATCTGTCCTCCTCCAGTTCCACTAACCCCACCAACCAATAATTTAAATTAAATAATTTTAAACACGATCAGGATGTCATGATATTATATAAAAAATTAAATATAAAATATAAAAATAATATAATTTAAAATTTTAATAAAAATTATACAAAATTTTGGTAAAAATTCAAAAATATATTTTATATTTAATTATGATATAATAATTTATATTTTATATTTATTAAAACAAAATAAATAAATATAAATACACAACTATTCACAACCACAAATATTAAATAAATATATTAAGTAGGCTCATATTTTCAAAATTTCAAATTTTCAAAGCTTTTTTGTCTTTTCTACTCATTATTTATTGTGTCATGACGTATATTCTACGCGTATGCGACCTAACTTCTGCTTACACGTGTTCTTCTCAGAGGCTTTCTAATTTTATATTATTATTTTTCTAAACTTTGGTTTCTTCTTCTCAATTTTGTTTTCGCTTCAGGACATTTGTCAATTTCCTTTTTTGTTTTCATAAAATCCTTAAATCTGCTTGTTTCTCGAAATTATTATTTTTCTCGTCTTATAATTCGTATTTGAGTATAATTTTTTCGTCAATTTGGATTTTTATTTATAAATATTAGTAATTAAAATTTTATAAAAAATTAAAGTAATTTTAAGTATATATTTATATAATTTTAATCTGATCAATTATTTAAAATAATTAAGATTAAAATTGAAAATTTTAATAAAAAATCATACATTATTTATGAGACAGAAAGGAGACATTTTAGGTGAAAAGCGTGAAAAGACAATTAATCCCTCTTGGTTTCGTACATGCACGATGGAGTTTGGTGATGAAAGGATTAATATCCATAATTCAGAACTTGATGTCGATGCCATATCATAAAAATCACCAACATGCTTGGTAATTATTAATTTTAACATGTTAATTTCATCAAATGAAAATTTAGAATGTACGGAAAATAATTGAATAAAATTTGTAAAATCTTTTAATTGGATGAAAAATTATCATATATATATTTACATCTTTCGTGAAATTAGAGAATTTTAAATCTTAATTTTTAACGTGAATTATTTTTTTAATATGTTAAATTAACTCTCACGTTCACTTAGCCTTTCATATATTTTTTTCGACTTCTCTTTTATTCCACATAGTTTTCTTTTAATATTTTTTAATATATAAAAAATAATTTTCCTCCTAAATGTTAGTGAAAAGAACGTAAATATTAAAATTCGAACTCTAATTTTATAATTTATAAGGATATCTAATTTTTAAGATATGTGGGTGAACTATTTACATTAAATCTTGATAAGTTTGTTCAGTCAATTTTTATTTTTTGTACATAAGTCAAAATTTAAGGAAAGCTGAAAAAATGTTATAAATGTTGGAAATTAAATTTCAATCTTATTAAAAATCACCTTTCAATGAAGATGAATAAATCATTTGAATTAAATTTGATATTCTCAGTCAATCATTCATTTTGATTTTTTTGATGGATAAAACATCTTATTAATGAGAAGAATTATATATTAACTTTCAATTAATCTGTGCAAATGGCAAACAAAAAAAAAAAAAAAAAGACTAATCGGTGCATGTATAATTGCCTTCTCGGGCAATTATAACGACGCGTATCATAGTATCTTCTAAAAAATAACTCCAATGTATCAGCACTAAGACTTCTACTTAAGAAATATAATACAACACTTGGGAGGGGATAACCACGAAACCACAATTGTTAATATGACATTAATCTATTTAAATTTCTTATTTTTATATTTGTTTAATTATATTTAATGATAAATTTAATTGGAATTAAGAGACATTATTGTATATTTAATTTTGCACAACTCAACATACCATTACACATATTTAATTTTGATACATGTCCATTCCGATTGCGTCTACAAGACTATCAATTTGAAAATCACACATGAATCTTGACTGACGATAATAAAAATTAAAATACTTTTTCACTTATAAATTTTAATTTAAAGATAAGTGTATATTTAATAATTTATTTAAAACTAGGTTTCACTTTTTCTTATAAAAAATTGTAGTATTTGACAAAAATAATTAGAATATTTTACCCAATCAAATTAGGAAAAGGACCAGTAATGAATCAAATTGAAATGGGGGCCCAGTACTATCCTGCAATGGTATCAAAAATTTTTTTGGGAAGCGTGACTCCTGCCTGTCCTGGATTCGCCTATGCTTATATATATATATATATATATATATATATATATATATGTGTATGAATGTGTTTCAAAGGAACGTAAATGAGGCGGCGAAATCTGGAAGGAAAAGAAATCTGATTTGTGTTTTGCTAAGTAAAGAAATATGGTATGTTGCTTGCACGCTTCTAGGCTTGACCCTTTGCGGGAATACAAGTCAAAGAAGCGCGTCCAAAGGCGTTCACATCTTTCACTTCCAAGATTTTTATTTTATTTTTCCATATCCAGCAGCAACTAAAAAGCCAGTAGATTATGATTGGCTGCTCATTTCATTTATCATCCCCCACTTTGAATTTAGCCTTTGTATGTACATAGGATAGGTGCGGTTGTTCAACCCCAACACATCAGCCTGGTTAAACAATTCTCCGTCAAATGATTTGAAGGTCTCAATGTAAATTGAGAAATTATTCGATATATTATCAATTTATTTGATAATTTTTTTATAAAAAATTTAGATTGATATTTCATATAAAAGGTACCCCCAACTTAAACTCATTTCCTTGTTGAACAAGATATTTTTAAATTTCAAGATAAATATTTTAATTTAAAATTAATTGATAATAAATGAAAGATATTTTCACTACTAAATGTTCTAAAAATTTAAATACAAATCGTAAGAACTGAGATAAAAGGATTTCAAACAATTTTCACTATCAAATGGCATATATATGTTTAAGGTAAATCTTAATGTAATCAATGTGAAATTTATTTTTATCACAATTTTAACATATACAATTCAAGAGATTTGAGATTTGAAATAAGTTGCTTTAATTAGAGACTATGCACTTATTGTTAGAGGTGACAAACAGGTAAGTTTCAACAGGATAAGAATTGAAGGAGTTGGAAGTTGACCCACTAACTTCACCCCTAAAAGGAGCCTTAACCAACGGCAGGAGACCCCATCAAATTAGTAGATAGTTATTGGCTCCTACTCGGTCATGTGCGGCATACTACATAATTCCCCCAAACCTTCATTCATATATAAAGAGAGAGAAAGAAGCAAATTCACATGAATTTGCATGTTCCTAAACCTTTCGCGTCATATCTGGTGTGGCATTAAATTGAGCAACTTCCATGAGGATCATCATTTACATGCGCAAATTAGAGTCGGCACCAGGAAAGAAATGGGAATAAAGGAGGTGTCATTTTTTTTTCTAAGAAATCATAATTTAAGGAAAGAAAAAAATTATAAATATTGAAATTTAAATATTAAATTTGTAGGGTGCCATCTTTTATGGGTAAGTACATGAATCGATTGATAATTAAACTAAGCTTAATTCAGGATATAAGAATATGTGCCTTTGCCTCCAGCTAGATAAGAAAATTGAAGTATAAATTCCTTTGGAAACATATATAATTAAGGATGCTTCTATTTGCACTTACGCACTCCATTATTAATAACATTCCAAATTCAAATCTTTTAAATTTATTTCAACTCTTTACACCCAAACCCTTAAAATACAATCCATTTACTATCCCATCCCCTCATTTACACCTAAACCCCCTAAATCCTTTTCCTTTTAACGTTTTTTTGTCTCTTCTTCTTCGATTCTCACTTAAATCAAAGTTTCAAAGTGCTAATTTTCAAACAAGATATAACAGTTTTATCTCATTTATTCCAATATAGAGAAAACTTATATATGACGTTTGAATGATTGAATGGGTTTATGATTTGTAATTTGTGTGCGTGTGTGTGTGGTTTTTTATAAAATCATTACCTATGAACATGTGTTTTCGTATACTTTTGTAAGTTTCCAAATTTGCATATTCGAAAACTTAAAAATTTTTGAAAATACAAATCCAAAAGCGTTAGGATTTGTGGCTTGGGAATATTGCTAGGAATGTGGAGTCTAGCCCGGTGGTTTTAACTATTCAAAGGCCATGGGTCTTGTGTTTTAGGCTATCCTAAAAGAGCTCTACTTATTAAAAGAAAAGTAAGAGCTATCTTTTAGGCATGAAAGAGTGGCACCACAAGCCGAAACCAAGAGGAAAATAAAAGCTAAAAAAATAGAGAGAAAATGAAAAAGAGAGAGTTGGTTAAATAGAAGTCGATTTGTGATCCGATTGAGTTAAAATTTTATTAATAAGTTCATAATTTAGTGTTTTATATTTTGAACAGTGTAGATCAGGTTTAAAACTTTTTAGGAACAAATCCAGGGTGTATTTGTTGAGTTACTTATTTAGTGAGATTTCTTCAATTGTCCCTTTAATTATTAATTAACTCTAGTTTTAGCTAGAGAAGAACTTTATATATCCATTATTTGATAGTGAAGATTTTTTTAGTGGTTCATAATTTTTTTCCTCTACACTAAAGGTTTTTTCACCTAAATCTTGTTGTGTTTTATTTTGCTTGCATTGTTGATTGTTATTTTTTACTGTAGGTTTATTGTGAGATATTGCTTTTGCGTTGTTGTATTTGTCACTTCAAGCCCAACAAGTGATATCAGAATGAGAGTTATTTTTTAAACATCGATATAAAAGTAACCCAAAATAAAAATAAATTATGTTTGAGATCATAGAGGATGATACATGTTTCATAATAAAATTGACAGTATTGAATTATTCAATTTGAAAGCCTATGATGGAAGATCTTTTATATTGCAAAGATTTGTATAAGTCAATATTAGGTGATTTGGTTAAACTAGTAGATACGAAAGATGATAGTTGAAAGAAGTTAGATAGAAAGACACTGGCTACAATAAAACAATGAGTTGATATTAGCATATTTTGTCATATATAGTAGGAGATAGATGCCCACACTGTTTCAAAAAAATTGGCAGTATTGTATGAGAGGA